TACTGGGCAGGAATCATTCCTGTCGCCGGATAGGCGTACCCCATCCCGTAGTTGCCATAGTACGGGTATCCCATCGCACCCATTGCGCCCATGCCGTTCATGCCGTTCATGCCATAGGTCCCGTAGGTGCCGTATGTTGCAGCGTACGTTGGGTAGGTGTTATATGAAGGGTAGTATGGCATATCTAGAAGACAAAGTCAGTCTAGGCGATTGAACAGGGTGCTGCTAAGACTCACAACCTCCGTAGTAACTCATATTTGGGAAGGTATTTGTTGGATAGAAGATATTGATATGATACGGTGTAATGAAGATAACAATGGTACAGAGGATCGATGCAATCGTGAAGAACGCGGGCTGCCGCTCATTCTGTTCTTTTAAGCGTTTAGTCGGAGCAACCAGAGAGACGGGCAGTTCCGGCGCCAAGGCAAGGGGTAAAGGCAGTCCAATTGCCAGGACGCGTGATTGGACACGCGAGCCAGTGTGAAACAGATTAGACAATCAACCTGTGCCCGGTATTGCAAGGAAATGTACTGCAGTCAGGTGACCAGTGCTTGGAAGAGCAACAATCTGCGGCGGAGATTGAAGCCGTTACTGGAACAATCGAGCCGGAAATATGTTCCGCGCGAGTGGGTTGTGACCTTGAAAATGACTGTGTGACATTCAGGGGAGTCCCAGACGAGGGCAAGCTGTATCTTGCCCTCGAGGCAGGTGCCGAAACGAAGGTACCATTGTAGACCAAAAGGAACCGCCCGTATCTCGCTGGTATAATCGATGAGGCAGTCGCCATACATGTACTGAGGTGGAATGTCCTTTGGCGCTAGGACAATGAAATCGTCTTCGGGTGATTTGGCATTCTGATCATCAGAAGTAAACGGATTCAAGAGCTATTCGAGGCCACTCAGTACCAACTACATGACAATGCGGATTACGAACCAAAGAATGCACATCTGCCTGGTTCGCATCTCCGGTAGCCAGCAAACGAGCAGGCAAATTGATCAAAGGAACGCGGTGCAGATTTTGATGCACGCCGGGTAGATCAATGTCCATCCAGAGATAAGTGTGCTGTCGCCCGCAAAACAGTCGGGACCCTTGATAGTGTATGAAGTCCACATGACGAAGCAGGTCTTCGTCTTGGGACCGGAGGGCGACATACGTGTCATTCCGCGACGTAACATCCGCATTGATGTCGTTAGGCCGCCACTTCTTCTCCGCAAATCGTAAGGTGGACCGATGCGGGCGAGACAAACTGTGTTCCAGGAAAAGAACCCCAGAGCCCTCCTCTACGACAGTAAATGCGGATACATGTGTCATCCGAGTCGACTTCATCATCTTGCTCCGGGTATGAAGTCTCCACCGCCCAACATGGATGGGCAGAAAGGGGGGCACTGTGGGCGTCGCTGGCCTGCTTGAGCAGGAAAATCGAAATACAAGTGTCGAACCGGAGGGTGATTTGAGGACCGAATGGGGTTGACACCATCATTGACTGTTAGAAGGCATAGTCCATGGGAATGATGCTGGGCGTGGGTGGAGGTTCACGGTGTTCGGTACCGAACCCGCCAAATATTTCCAAACAGGCGTGATCGTAATTGACGACAAGGAGATACGACCCGACAATCCATGCTTCAACCTTCCTCAGCAAGACCTTTGTGAAATTTGAACGAGTGCCAGAAATAATTCACTTGGAGACTTACGGTTTGTTGACCACTCAGCTCCAAGGTCACTATTCTGTTATCGTTGATGTTCTTGGCGATCAATCGATTATCACCTTGCTCGTGGCGGTACACGACCCAATGCCGATTGACGGCGAGTACATCCACAGAACGAGATAAATCGACCCAGAGAGTATATTCTTCAGCGTGGACGACTGGAAAGAAGGTCAACCTCTTCTTGTCCGCTGTACCGGAGTGGCCTTCTACGGATTCCACAATGCAAATTGACTCCATTTCCGTCCAATTATGGACGGAAAGGACGCCAACAGCGCCGTCTTCCCCATTGACTAGGCGGGGTCCAACCTTGGGGTATCGAACATCCTGCCGAGCCCCTGTGGCGCTTTGGTCGTCGAGTTTGAAGATGATCGCGCGAGGCTTATCGTCCAAGACAATCATGGTGTGCGAGCCGGAAAACCAGATACGGGCAATCTTCCCATCAAGACTCAGGGACTGCCGGATCCAGGACAGACGGGGTGTGTCGTGAGCGCTTGGTCGACATGGTCGATGGAAGAGTTGACACGCGTCATGATGGGCGAGATGGACGTCAACAAAGAGGGCGCGCCCCCTTTTTATGTATTCCATGGACAGTCACGGCAGACGGAGGTAAACTCACGAAAGCATCGACGACCATGTCTCGCATGCAGCTGAGCGGGGTGGCAATGGAACAACCACCCTTGCCCTCGCAGACTGTCCTCGGTACTCCTGCGCTGGACTTGCGGGTTGATGATTGGCATAGGCGTCGACGCGTAGAGGAACGCAGAATGACGCGTAGGAGGGTCATGTATGCGCGGTTTAACATTCGCCGTCGTCGACTGGATGACATCTACACGCAATGAACATTCGAAGCAATAAACAAGATCAGCACTATTTACCGATGCTCAGGATTGGTAGGAAATCTTGGGCATAACAAGCCTTCGCCAATACCACGGTGAGGAACAGGTGTCCATCACGGTTTAGCAGTTCTGCGGCATTCTTCGGATCGCAAAGAGACTGGTCGATGTCGGTGCTGCTTTGAGCGACTGCCACCAGAGTCTGCACGGAATCGAAGTTGGTTAACGCGTCGACCGCCTGCAGGTGGGCCAGGATTACACGCTCGTTGAATGTCGGGATGACGTTTTGCATAGCTGGTGATGCGGTTGGATGACTCGTGCAGTGCGAGACAGATGTCGCATAAACCGACAGGAGCTCGCCTCATCCTCTTTGAAGGCTTTTGACTCTAACCGGTCTTAGGTTCCCCGACTTGAACGTAGAGATACCGGTAGAAGAGACATCAAGGGTCAGCGTTGCCGTTGTCTCGTCTTTGAAGCCGGAGATTCACCTCTCGGCTCCGAGACATTTTTGTCAAATCCATCCCAAGTACGCAATAAACAACAACAGCATTATAGATTTCATTTTCTCAATAGTAGCAGTTGGAGCTAATAAAGATAAAAGCCATTTCTATTTTGACAGATGACGTTTGCATGTGAATTGAGCAAAAGAAATTAATAGTCGCCGGGACAATAGTTTTATCTCGTTTCGGAGCCACAGATGTGAATCGAACGAGCGACCCCAACGTCTATGTGGGTTCACGATATAGTAACCCCAGTGACCTTCACCACTGCACCATGCTACCTGGCGTCGAGGGAGAACCCTATTCTGAACTTTTGACTACCTACAGGGCTCTTGCCTCCGCCTTATAAATTTACCTTTTGCCTCGTATCTTCACCACATTCCACACAACTTGGCCGTCTGGTCGCTTTGAACAACTCGTTTAGTATGAAGTTTTACCTACTATTCACACTCTGGCTTTCGGCCTTGGACTCTTTCGTATGCAACATGTTCGGTTTGACTTGATGGTCTCCAGCTCCACTAGCGTAGTGTATCCCAACTGGGGAGTGGTGCATTCGTATGACTTGGTAAACATACCGCGCTAGATATGGAGAGACGAAGCATACAACTGAAAGGGCCAACAACATCTCGCTTCAAGTCCACAAACCTCGCATTCTCGGGCGCTTATATGTCAGGTTTCACACGAAACGTTATCAATCAAAGCCCATTTCAGCTCTACGCGTTATACTTTCGCTCCACCAAGCATGGTCAGAGATGATGCGGAGTATCGCATAGTCGTCCCTGTAGGGGACTACTGGAGCGGAAGCATATGCAGAAGCAAATGCGATCCAAATGCGTGCTGTAGAACTACATCCAATCTCTATCAGCACCCCAGCCCGTCTGCTGCTGCTCATCGTGAGCGACTCGGGGTTGGTAGACTTATACCCTGGCTCTATTATCACCTCTGGGCAGCCTCAGCACGGTGGTTACGCGTCTGGATACATATCTGCCTTGGGGAGGTTCTGTTTGGCCATCCACTGCTGACTCACCACCTCTGAGTCAGCACCTAGGGACGTAGTCAGCGCCAAGTACTCGCTGACTCATCTGGGACCCTAGCTAGCCTTGGCAACTCCTCGGCAGTCCCTCGTTGTCTTCCTGCATCTACTACTGGCACTCCGCATATCGCCAAACGTCACCTAGTCGGCTACACCTTACTACACTATTTCCCTTTATCAAGAGAGGCTACTACTGATTCTAATTCTGCCGCACAACTTGCAAAGAGAACTGTCCCCAAAGGTCTATGCTCATGTTCGACAAGAATGGCGCATGCTCTGTCCGGACCTGTCAGCATTTGATCCGCTTCTGAAAGCGAGTTCGAGGAGGACCTTGAGTACATGGTAAAGGGAGCAGAAACGATGTCACCAGCTGTTGGCCGGGGAGCGATGGGGAGCGCCGCATGATGGGTCGACTGTTTGGCATGTTGGCGAAGGGAGAAGCGAGGTCTGGGTGTTGCACTGCAGCAGGTCAGCGATTGCTCGGATGTACACTGGGGTGTATCGGAGAGGACTCACACATTTACATCTCTTCGACCTCTCCTTAGCACCCTTGCCATCCATAGCTTCTCTCCAACCTCAACCTCCCATTATTCAAGTTCCTTCCTCTCCGGGATAGCCAGGCACAGCGGTTGATAATAACGGGGGTGAGCGGGGCAATCTAACGCGATGTTGCGTGGGCCGCAGCTTGGGGGACTTGACGGATTTGATAACAGAGGGAGAAGAGGAAGAGTCGGATCGCATAGAATGGGGTCTGTCTTCAGTTGCTCGTTCTTGTTCCTGGCTTTTTGTATAGGGATGCCACACAAATATACGAGCGGGGAGTTGGAATGCAGTGGCATACTGTTGGAGACGATCCAGTGCTGCAGGTCGAATTCTCAGCCGTTTTCCAAGCAAATTTCAGTCTTGAGTAGTTAGAGTTTGTAGAAAGAGGTGTTAATGAGCAGTTCACAACAGCTAGACGGCCAAGTTGTGTGGAATGTGGTGAAGATACGAGGCAAAAGGTAAATTTATAAGGCGGAGGCAAGAGCCCTGTAGGTTGTCAAAAGTTCAGAATAGGGTTCTCCCTCGACGCCAGGTAGCATGGTGCAGTGGTGAAGGTCACTGGGGTTACTATATCGTGAACCCACATAGACGTTGGGGTCGCTCGTTCGATTCACATCTGTGGCTCCGAAACGAGATAAAACTATTGTCCCGGCGACTATTAATTTCTTTTGCTCAATTCACATGCAAACGTCATCTGTCAAAATAGAAATGGCTTTTATCTTTATTAGCTCCAACTGCTACTATTGAGAAAATGAAATCTATAATGCTGTTGTTGTTTATTGCGTACTTGGGATGGATTTGACAAAAATGTCTCGGAGCCGAGAGGTGAATCTCCGGCTTCAAAGACGAGACAAGGGACAAATACTAATCTTTGACGTCTCTTACACCTGGATTTTTCACGAAAACTATGTTCAAGCACGTATTATGTGTCTTGCTGACGCACGGCCAACAAGAATAGAGCTGTGGGAGAATGCTGGGTGCTTCTCTTTTGTGGTCGGTTTCTGAGACATCTGCATCGTACCGGCGCAGAAGTGGTGAAGTCGCATCACCCGAGGCAGATTCTCTTTCCTAATTGCTCAACCCGCATCAGATCATAGTATGCAAACTGAATTGCATTCATCTCTTCCCTAGTTCCCCATAATAACTGATAAGCGGTGTGCGTCACACAAAAATAAAGAAATAATACAGCATCCAATGCTTGCCCCACACAGTACTACGACCCTCTACTTTCCTCCCTCCCTCATCACTCACGAAACACAGCTCGATAAAGCGACACGACGACCGATTTCGTCTTCCATCCACGTCTCTCATCCATCCAAACCTCTTCCAAGGGTATACGGGCAGCATCCGACCACGAAGGACCACGACTCCAAAACCGACACGCATCGTGCTTTCCTCGACCCACTCAATCAACAACTTTCGACCATATCTGCGCCTGCTGCTGTTCCGGCCTCTCCGATCCATCCTCCACTCGCGGAGCAAAGCTCTCAGCGCTGCCAGGGGTCGACAAACTGCTGCTGCTATCCTGTCGGCCTGGTCCCGACCCCAGCCCAGGTCCAGGCTCGAGGAGCGCGTCCATCCCTTTAGGGGGATAGTGCTCCACCATCGCCTGCGGCTGCCCCAGATGCCGCCCGCCAGAAGCAGGACGGGATAGTCCATCCGAATAACTCGCGCTTTCGGACCTGTCGTACCCTCCCGACGCTGCCCGTCGTTGAAATGAATAAGCCGTGTCTGCCCTCTCGTAAGACTCGTTCGACGGCAGCCTAGAGCGGAGGGGGGCGGGCTCCCGTCCGCGTTCGTACGACTCGTTCAGGGGAAGACCACGCGTGTGGGGTGTGTAGGTACTCGGTTCCGCCCGTTCGTAGGACTGGTTGACGGGGATCGAGTGCGGATGCGAGTGTTGCGGATAGGGATCGGGAGCGTAGCCCTTCGACATCGGTGCGCTGGAGTACTCAGGCTGGGTATAGCCGTTCGTCCCCTCGTACTCCGGAGGATAAGCAAGGTTGTCCTCATATCGCTCTTGGTGATAGCCGTTCCCCTGGGAAGCGGGTCCCGTGCCCGTACCAGTGCCTGTACTTTCAGGACTCTCAGGCTGCTCTTCAGGCTGATACTGCGCATACACAGGCTCATCCACTGCAAACCGGCAAATCAGTCAAGGCCTCGGTCGCTGAGGGAAGACTTACGCTCCACCTTGACCTCCTCCGTCATGCCTTTATCCGCCCCGACGCCGACAGACAAGCTCCACTGACAGCGCTGTTTCATCCGATGACAGGCCTGGCAAGCCTTCATCGCCGTAGTGGAGATGGTACACTTATCCCACTTCTTCTTCTGGCAGTAGTCGCACCTCGCTGCCCCAGTCTGTAGGCACGCGTTAGCCATGCGCACGAATCACATAAAACATCTCCACTTCCGAAAAGCTCGCAAAAGAGCTCGCTTTCCAAAAAGGGAATAATTGACTGCAGAAACGCACCTTGATCACAGCAACCCTCCTAATGACCTGCGTCATAGGCGGTTTTGGCCCTCTCCGCTTCTTCCCTCCCGGACTCGTCCTCTCCCCCGTTCCCGCCGCACCAGCCGCAGGCACTCCCAACCCCAACCCCATCTCCTGTACTTGCGCCAGCGGCGGTTGGGGTACGACCATTGTGCTCCCCTGTCCCCCCTGCGGGGCCGAAGATAACACAGTAAGAGGCTTGATGTCTTCTTGTTCCAAGCCGAAGGAGGGTGTGCCTTCAGTAGAGAATGAGCTCGCACTTGCAGAGCCTGAGGAGACAGAGGCCGAGTTGGACACCGTCTCGGGGTAGCGGTCCTCCGGCATTTGCATGGGAATTGGTAGAGGGAGTGTCATAGGCATCGGCAGTGGTAGAGGAAGGGGAAGGGGAAGGGGAAGTGGGAGTCCAATATCGGAGCGGTCGAGTTCGTTTGAATGGGGATGTGGCAAGTCTTGCATGTGCGAGTGCGGATGCGCATGATGAGAATGCATATTCCTCGCGGTGGGCTCGTAATCTCTCTCCCAGATCCGGTTGGGCTTTTGGTCGTATCCCTGGGAGCCCAGTGTCGCTGTAGGCTCCAGCTCCCGCTCCCGCTCCCGCATGTCCATCTGCTCCGCTTGCAAGCTCGACATCTCCATGCCCGGAGGGAGCATCGGACCTTCCCTCACGGCGGTGGAAAGTGTATCATTCGGATTCCGTTCCCACTCGCATTTCACCTTCATCTTCTGGCACATGTGGCACGCGACCCGCCCGTTATTTGGCGTACGAGTAGACTTGTAGATCGTGCATTCCGGGATGCCCCGGGCAATGCACCGCTTACACCTCGCGTCGGCAACTTTGACTATGCCTGTTGAGCGGGAAGCACGTTCTTCAAGTTGGGCCGCACGGGCAGAGGTGGGGACGTAGGATCGGCGGCGGGGGGTGGGAGCGGCGCCTGTAGGGTAGACGGGGGAGGGGAGAGGATAGGATGGGTAGGCAGAAAGATGCGCATCGTCTTCCTCCAATTCGTCGATCTCTTCGTGATATGATGGATCTGGGTGCCGGTCAGTAGCCGCCCGCCCGTCGTTCAACAGCGTAGGGGACGCACGCTCGGGAAGAGCATTCCATTTCGGCCTGCTGGGTCCAGGCTCCTCGCTATCCAGCCGAGGACCGTAATACTGCGATCCGCGGATATCCTGCTGTTGCCCGGGTGACTGCGGAGGAGGGAGAGGGACGGACATATGTGAGTGGGGCATAGGGAGGGCGTAAGAGTCATCCAGCGGACGGGGCTTTTGGTCCTCTGGTGAACGAGGGGGGAGAGGGGGAAGAGGGACAGGGCCTTGATCAACGGATGCCTCGGATTCCCAGCGCGCTTGGACGCTCTGCGGCGACGTGAGTGGGCGTCTAACGGGGGATGGGGAAGCGCGGACGTCTGAGTACTCTCGTTCCAATTTTCTGCGGAGTGCGGCTATGGCGTGTGAGTGGGTGCGGAAGGGAGGGGGAAGAGGACTAACGATGATTTCGAACATGTTTGAATTCCCTGCCTTCCCACCCGACCATGAGGAGCATCTCGAGTTCCTCCCGCTCGTCCAACAGCCTGCTCGCAGCGTCTATATCTGCGAGGCTGGGGTCCAAGTCCACACAGGTCTTTACGAGCGCTACGAGGGTCTTGATGGCGTCGAAGGTAGTTGCAGCACGATAGCGCTCTAAGCGGAGGAGGACGAGCTCGTCGAGTGAGCGGTGGTCTGCGTCGGAGATGTCGAGCGGGGTGAGACGGCGCCTGAGAGCGGAAGGTTCGCGTGGGGGTGGGGAATGAGCACGACGTTTTAGGGAATCCATTGAGTGATCATGCAGAATGTTATAATAGTATATCAGTTTGAGTAGGGATAGTTAAGCAGATATGAATGATGATGATGGTGGTGGTAGAGAAGGAGGAGGAGGAGGAGGAGGAGAAAGAGGGACAGGAAGCGGTGAGTCTACTGCGGGTGAAAGAGAGGAACTCTGAGCAGTGTGAACGGCGGTGTACGGTGAGCATCGCCATATTTGGTAACTCCGGCAGATGCCGAGAACAAATGGAACGGATCGGAGACCGGACTAACGGCGTAACACTCGGCCTTGCCCTTTTGTTCTCCTCACCAAATTCTCCTCCCCGGCAATAACACACCACCAAATGATTCCACCCCTTTCGGCGGTCCGGCGCATCGGCCCGACATCTCCCGCGCCGACATCTCTCTACCCTAATATCATCACTTACATCCTTCTCCTGGTTAAACCACCAACCAGCGGGCGCCGCACCAAGCACTAAAGGGAAGCACAAGCCACCGCCGAACCCGCCGCTTGCTTGCTTGCACACAATCAGGGCCCCCTTTTCCCCAGCTCGCTCCGGTTCCGTCGGCTGCGTCGTGCGGCGTGCGCGGCTACCGGATGGGAACGTCAGATCGGCCAGCACAGCTCCTTTCCCCAGTCCCCGTGCCACATAAGCCCTCACCTTCGTCCGCTGTCCTGTGCCCCGAGATCCCATCCCTTGCCTGTCAGCATACCTCAGGTTAGACAATTAACCTCCCCGCCCGTGCTCCCTCCATGCACATCCCCCTGACACCTCCAGCACCCAGCCACACAACACGCAAATTCCGGAAGCGCGGAGTCCGAAACCACCCTTATACCGGCTCCGTGGGAGGACATCGTACCCGCTCCCGTTTCCCCCCCACCGGGCAGAAGTCACGCGTCGCCATCGTCATCGTCATCGGCGCTGCCCATGCTCAGACGCACACGACCTTTGTCCCCCAACGGCGTTCTACCACCGATATGTAAGCGCACGTGCCAAGCCCCTCTCCCTGTTCTCTCAATCCGCAAGACGACCCGCTCCGCCACGCGCCACACACACAATCCCTGTCGCCACACCACACACCACCACACACCTAGCGCTGGCCATCACTTGCCTGGAAAGGAGATAGAAACATACTTCCCGCAGAGGGCAACGCCAGCAGCGACACTAGTTGCTCCGAGGTCAACATCCCCATCTTCTCATCAAACGCGTGGCAAGAACCCACCGGCAAGGAGAAGGAAAATGCTTCGCTCGGCGACCCTCGGGGCGTAGCCCGGGCAGTCGCCGATCCACACACGTCCCCCAGTCCAGTTCCAGGCCCGGCAGCCGGCTCCCGCTTCCTCCCGTTTACCCCTTTTTTCCACACCAGTCAGTCCCCGTTCGCCCCGGCCAAACTTCCCGTCCATTCTCCCTGCGCCTGCCACAAGGCGAGGGGGAACGTGATGATCCCTGGATCTGGATCAGTTTCGGGCGTTTGGGGGGCTCGCCGACGGGGTCCGGCACAATCGGGACCCGGGATTTGGGGCCGAGTTCGGGGGCACGGACCCCGGGACTCGGTGGGCTTCGGCGGTTTGAGAACGTGGGTTCGGCTCGGACAACATGGTTCGGAGGGGAGATAGCGGCTGTGCAAATGCCGTGCTGAGCTGGTTTTGCTAAATCGTTCGTTGTCTGCTTGCAGGCCGCGGCCATGATTACTGGTAAAGCAAAGCTGGGAAGTCTTCTCTTGACACGCTATAACGACAGTGCCCGAGTTGCTGGGTACGCAAGACCGCATCTGCTAGCTCAGCCCCGATCACGGGCCGAGGCGATGACTCAAACGCGGATCTATGAATGTCCGGAGACGGCGCTTCCCATCGTCCGCCCTTGATGTCACCGCCTCGTCGTTCAGCGCGCTGGACTTCTTACCCGCACACCTTGGACCTCATTTCGAGCACGGTTCCGACCCCGTGCTGATGTGACCTGTTCGCGCACTACTCGATCTTCTGTTCATCTAATCTCTTTGTGTCTCGGTGGGGATCGGTCTTGCTCAGCATGGACCGTTCACCGGATTAGAACCCTCGATTCCCAGGTTGTGAGGTGGTCCCACCCTCCCTCGGCTCAGCGAGCGCAACTCCGCCTGGAGCGATGACGATCACACGCTACAGCAGCGAGGGGCCTTCCAGGGACGTTTACAGCCTCGCCTCCTATTGTCTGACTTGACTCGCGTCCACACTTAATCTCACTGCCGCACTCGGTTGGCCGTGTTGATTGTACTAGCTTTCTAGCACACACGCGGTGGAGGTGATATTTGCCGTCTTTGATCCAACACATTTCCATCTTCCAGCGGCTGTGATTGTGCGGCCCTCGACATCTGACTAGCGTCTCCGTCTTTCTGTCGTAGGATCTTCCTGGATGCGGACCGTACGCCGACTTGAAAGATGAGACTGTGAAGAGATTGCCCGTCTTCCGCTTTGTGGAGGCAGCTGTGCCCCGGACTATCAAAGCCATTAACACGCTACCGTGATGGCAGTGACGACCATCACCAAGCTACCATAGGGAGTAGGCCTTCCACGAGGGTTACTTACCGAGCTATAGACGAAATCATCCTTTTGGCTTCACTTCCTTCGCCCCTTGATTACCTGCCCTCACCGGCTGTGCGCTGGCCCACTTTAACGTCGCAAGTTCCCGTTTAGTCGGAGCAGTCCAGGGCTCCGGTGTCAGCCAGTCGAGCTCTGATCCTTCTGTTCGTCGTGTTGCCGGTTAGTCGTTATCATCGAGTTCTATAGTTCTATCCCGGTTCTGATCTACGTACAGCCATGCATGCCGCATTTGGTGCATTATCAATCCCCAATGCTCGTGCATCCCTCGACACTGATTGTCCAAATGCCGACTAAGCTCCCAGAACCGACAGCCATTGCACGCGAACAGCATTACGAACCCTGATATCGTCGCCGATGTTAGGGGCTGCTTCTTGGCTCGCTCAGAATCTCACCGGCGGCGCACAGCTGCTACCGCATGATTCCTACCTCGGATCTCGGACAATGGTGGCTAGCTCATCCCGGCAAATCAAATGCACTTGTTTCTCATTGCGTTCTGTTTCGGCCCCTGCTCATCTAATACACTATCGTATCCGTAGGCCGTGGACTGTGGACGGTGCTATTACCCATTCCCCGGCACCCATTAGCCAAGGGTGGATAGCCTCCCACTCGAAAGTCAGGTTGCCGAAACTTCTCGACCTTGTCTGAAGAAAACGGTGCTGTGCCTGAGAACGGGGGAAGGCTGTCTTTATTTGGCTAGGAAGGATTCTCGAACGAGTTGGAACCGGTTACCGCGCTGGTCAAGGGAGATTACTAATAGGGGGCATCCGCCCGCTTTCATGTGCCTACGGCCACGGGTCATCCACGGATTGTCGGTGGTTATCCAAACATCATGCAGTGGGTGCTCGCAATAGCACTGAGGCCACGAACGATAACCAGAGGATACACGCTAAGGCAGTTGGTTGTACCCTCTTTCAGCCTGTATTATTCCTCCTGAATCCTTCACGAGTGGGGCTGGACACGCGTCGTTCTACCGCTTTATTCGCCGAGTGATGCCGAACCCCGACATTTGCTTCGCAACTTGCCGTGGGGGAACGATCTTACGCTTCTAACTTCTGTGTTGAGCTAGAACGCCTGCTGACCTGCTCAAGCTTTGATCCTGTCACTTGGGATGAAGCACACGCCGCGGTCGTAGGGCTCTCAGCTTCCTTGAAAGGATTCTTTGTCCCAGCACCTAACCTCTCGTTGGACTCGCCCACACTTCGACGGCAACAACCTGCCCGCGGCCACTTTATTTGGATGCCGAAGCATCTTGTTGCCGAGGACATGTGCGGCCTAAGGATGCCAGCTATCTGAAGAAGTAGAAGTAGATGGCGGGCGCATCCATATGCGCGTCGAGTGAGATGATGGGAGTCTATAAAATGCTCGATAATGGGAGCCTGGGAGGGTAGGGCTAGAGATTTCTCCCCCGACAACTAGCACTAGAACACAATCAGCATGTCTTCTCCTGGTACGTTCCTCCTTCCATTGCTTGTATGAACAGAAATTCATCCCTATCTCGACGTATAGCTAACACCTCCAACCCGACCCAGCCCCGCAAGCGCTCCATCTCCGACGTGATGTCAGTGACTACCTACGTCTGAAATATCATAACATCCCCTGACGGCAACATCTCTCTACAGGAACAATGAACGTCGCCAGAGGTGGCTCCAGAGCTCTGGCAGGCCCGATAAGTGGAACGTGCTCAGGCCGGGCGTCTCTCAGTTTGTCGGCCACTTCCTGAAACGCGGTGACCAGACCAAGCACTAGTAGGCTTTGACGGACACATACGAGTTCTTTGGTCCCTGGAAGGAAGAAACAACGTCTCTCTATTGGTCTCCAGCTTCTTAGGGTAGCTTTGGTACACTTTCTCGGAATCTGGCTTCTGTTTGTATGCACTGCACAGTCCTCGTATGAAGAAATGAGATTCCAGAGTTCCAGCATTATCCGTGACGTCAATCCTACCGGCGGGGCTGACGAGCCATTAAGAGAAGCTGAGGGGCATTGCAGATTCAACCTATAGCGATTGCCATCTACGCGCAACCGTCTTTGTTCCACCAGATTGACGATCGGCTTTCTCGAAGTTTGTGCGTTATGGACGACATGACACCCTCAGCAATCACGAGATCGCAAACCTGTGGTTGTGTAGATACATCCGCCTACTTCCCAATTAGTCTGAAAATGAGTCAACCTAGTACTGTGCTCGCTCGACGGGATCGAGTTGTCATTGAACACCATCCCAAGAAACCCGCTCCCAGGAGAAGGCGCCACGCCCCTTGTCGGATTTGCGGAAACTCGGTCCATCTTGGGAGGCTATACAGCAGCTTGAGGAGGGTGAAGATCGTGCGGCAGCGAAAGGGCCGGGGAAGTCCCTGCTTGCTTAGCGTTGGGTGATGGCGAGTGGTGCGTGCAGGGAGCTGGACATGCCATCAGAGGTCTCCTCAGCTTGAGCGAACATGTTTGACCTTGCGTATTTCATGAAAATGTCGCCTGAGCAGCGCCTGAACACGACATGTATACAACAACAGTAAGGGCACCAGTCTAGGATACGTCAAAGCGTGCTCAGTCCTTGTCACGTCGCGTCTTTGCGACGGAGTTTCACCCCCTCGGCTCCGAGACATTTTTGTCGAAAAACATCCCAAGCACGCAATGAACAACAACAGTATTATAGATCGCATTTTCTCATTAATAAAAGTTGGAGCCAATAAAAGGTTAAACACTTTCTATTTCAACAGATGATATTTGAATGCGAACTGAGCGAAATAAAAAAAATAGTCGCGGGCACGATAGTTTTATCTCGTTTCGGAGCCACAGATGGGAATCGAACGAGCGACCCCAACGTCTATGTGGGTTCACGATATAGTAACCCCAGTGACCTTAACCACTGCACCATCGAACTGGCGGCGAGGGACCCACCTGTTCTTGCTATTTCACTAGGATCTAGGGGTTGCGTCCGCCCATTGTTTTTCTACCTCGCATGTTCACCACATTCCACACGATTTTGCGGTCTAGATGTTTTGTAAGATTTCTTAATGCCTCTCATTGTGCAGATGAATCAATAGGGAACAGCGTTTGCCATGTCATTCCAAGGGAAACAGTGACCGTACTATCTTGTATATGCTCCCCGCCTGCAACGTCCCGCATGCCAACTCTCGACCTGGGCATTCCTGTAGCATCCCCAGACAGTAATCCTTATATGCGGAAGAAGACAAAGTATAGGGTCGGCACATAGCTTCAAGTCCAAGGGCTTCGCCTACTGGTCAAGACTGGCAACACCACGCAAAGTCAAATAGTTACCCGCTTGGCTTAACCTGGGCATTTCACGACCTCTGACGATCCCCAACTTCCGAATGTATGCCTCCAACTCGCCAAAGGAAGCTCTCATTTCTATCTTATCAGACCCATCTTCTTCTCCCTCGCTTATCAATCCCCAATCGCACATCGAGTCCACCTGTACTCTCAGGCTCTCCCAAGCGCCTACCCTCTCAACCCCGCCTTCGATGTGCTGTTCACCTTGCTATCTATTAGTGAGACCTGTTCCTGGTTACCTCAGGAGCTGGGGAATTTGGAGAATGGAATGCGTCTGTTAGAGAGAAGGCCGTGGATGGAAGGGCTGCTGAGATTAACCTGGCAGGCGGGGGAATACGAGGCCGTGGGGCGCATGTGTGAGTGTGCTGTGATACGAACGATCAACGGCTACTGACCTTTGTGGTTGTCGTACAAGACGCAGAAGTCACCTCGCTCCCAAGTACTCCCCCTCAACCAACCCAACACGTCGCACTCGCCGTCGCCCACCGATTAGACAGCTGGGGACATCACCCGCGTGCCCCTTGCCACCTTCTTAGCCTCCTCTTCGCACTCGCGTATACATAGCGTGCCAGCGGTCGACCAAACGTTGGAAGATCCCGACAGGGCGTGTGCGTTTCTTGCCCAACCGAGAACCGGTTTCTAGGAACGGCGTTCCGTATTGCCTGGCAGAATTGGCGCTTCTTAGTGCCCTCTTACGGTGCTTGGCGCGCTGATGGCTCGAGAGGAGGTCACCGCTCTTTGATACCGTCGCCGTGTCGGAGACCTGGTGTTATTTCGAACAGAGGGCCAGTTTTCTGCATCATGTTCGAGCCAGCGGTCGACCAAATGTTAGAAGCCTCCAGTGCGTCTTTCCCCGCAGATGCTGGTAAATGTCGCTGACGCGTACGGTAGACAAGTTGGTCGCGCACTGTGTTGCGCCCTATTTGCAATCTTTTACTAGGTATGACGGGTTGCTTCTGACGTCGTCAGAGCTCTTGCCATATTTCACAAACGGCGGCGCTCTTTCTCGTCACACAATCAAGCCTTTGAACACAAGCGAACCCATTTGCCATCAAAGTTTTACTTTTTTTAAAAATCGGAACAACTGGCCAACAATTCTGCCATTATTATGATCAAACTGTGTCTTGTGTTTTTACTCTTCACTGGCACTGTTCCTACGACAACTTGGGTTACGCGACGACCGGGCGTATGGAAGAATGTTCAGTCATTCAAAACTCAAGCCGATCAACCCCTCGTGCCGGTTAATCAGAACAGGCGCGATAAGCGTTGCAGGGGGTTCCAGTTATCGACCTCCATCCATCCACCGTATTTCATTAAGAGACATACAAAGGAACGGTGACTGCATCACCTCTCAGCCTCCTCCAAACTCTAACCTAGGTTGAAAAATAATGGTCATCAAGAGAGTACTAAGCCCTGGTGGAAGGAAGGTTCGAATCGCTTGGGCCTGCCGACCTTTCATTATCGAGCAACGGTCGGACAATCCTGAGCACTTCCTCCCAATCGATGTAATTAGGATCAAAGTCGCCTTCGGGATATCTACATGCAAGGATAGCTCGGACAGTCCTGAGGAATTCCTCCATATCGAGGCTACCGGCGACAGAGGCTCGTACAACCGGGGAAGCCGTCTAGCTGTCTGGGTGGGCGATATAAGGGGGAAGTCGTTCACGCCTGCGATACGTGGGGAGCGCATCATCGATAGGATGACTCTCGTAATAAAACGGATAGTCAAATCCATGCGTATCGTGGGGTGTGTACGAAGGGGGATCAAACATAGGCTCGTCTGTTTCACCGTATCGCGTGAGGTCAGGCGGAAAACTGCTTCCACGCGTGGAAGCCGTCCCCCGAGCCAGCGGGAGCCAGGAGGTAAAAACTGGGTAAGATATCGAGACCAAAGTCGCGGTAGCTTGCATGACAGAACCCCCTAATAGGCTGTGGGAGTTCGACTTGGAGAGGCCGAAGCCAGAGACGGAAACGGGAGGGGAGGTGATGATGGTGTTACTCGCGACCGCCGGGCTGCCTGTCATGATGCTCTCAAAAAGGTAAAGACCGAAGCTGGTTATGCGGTTGCGACAATGCTGAGACCGGGAAGGGCTTGACATGTTGGATATTGGGAGGTGCAAGGTCTGTGGTCGAAATTCAAGTTTGTGACGATCGCCACATTAAATAGAAAAGACCATTCGCACGACACGCGGCGGTGGGAGTCATTAACATCACTCCGGAAATGCGGGTAAGCGTGGTGCAAAAGAAGGCGCGGTTAAGCGCGTTTCTTCTAGCGTGGTCTGGCCACAGGATATGGATGAACACTATATAAACCTTCTAATCCTGGCTCAAGAACATCCGCCTCTCCTTCTCCTTTCGCCACAACTAGCTATGCAAAACGTCATCCCGACATTCAACGAGCGTGTATTGGCCCACCTGCAGGCGGTCGACGCATTAACCAACTTCGATTCCGTGCAGACTCTGGTTGCAGTCGCTCAAAGCAGCACCGACATCGACCAGTCTCTTTGCGATCCGAAGAATGCCGCAGAACTGCTAAACCGTGATGGACACCTGTTCCTCACCGTGGTATTGGCGAAGGCTTGTTATGCCCAAGATTTCCTACCAATCCTGAGCATCGGTAAATAGTGCTGATCTTGTTTATTGCTTCGAATGTTCATTGCGTGTAGATGTCATCCAGTCGACGACGGCGAATGTTAAACCGCGCATACATGACCCTCCTACGCGTCATTCTGCGTTCCTCTACGCGTCGACGCCTATGCCAATCATCAACCCGCAAGTCCAGCGCAGGGGTACCGAGGACAGTATGCTCAGCGTTACCGAGGGCAAGGGTGGTTGTTCCATTTCCACTCCGCTCAGCTGCATGCGAGACATGGTCAGATCTTGTATTGTTTCCACCCAAATCTGCGCGGTTCGCTGCGGCAATTGTCTCGACAAGTGGTATCGCGGCGGTGGACAAGATAAGAATGCACCAGAGGATGACGACATCTTTGACGCTGCTACCACGATCGGTACTGATGGCACCGTGGTGGGAGACGAGCTGTAGAAACATGTTGGAGATGCTGGTATACCTCGAAACCTGAATGAGTGTGAGGAGACTGCATGCTTCAACGATGACGACTTCAACGATTAATGCCCAACGTCGTTTCCTCCTTGATGTCCAAAGGGGTATTTCCACTCCCATTGTAATAAAGTAGTACCAGACGCATATACGTGGAAGACTATTCGAGACTGATCGCCTGTCCGTTGCGGTGATAGCCCGTACAGGGAGATAGACGGCACAGTATTCTTCGTATTGTCGCAATGCGTCTCGGAAATTGCCGATTGGAGAATGAGAAAGGGAGTTCGAGTATATATAAACGGCCAGCAGGTTCAATGGAGTGACCGCCCCCTTTTCCGAACCGGCAAGACTCCATGTTGATAGAAAGTGGACACAACCAGCTTAGCTTAAGCGCGACTGTCCTCGAGCAACTCCAGGAACAAGAAGTGTTTGATAAATTCAGCGCGGTCCAAACTCTCGTAGGTGTGGCCAAGAGCAGCATACAGATAGATCAGTCGTTGTGTGATGATGTCAGGGCCGCCGCTCTTCTCCAGCAAGGAGAACAGCTGCGCTCGCATTGGCCGAGGCATTTCGAGAGAAGCGCTTTGATTCCATACTATCCATGGGTACGTGAGATGTACATCATTATCTGTTCCTTCATCAGACCCTCACACAGAGACGATTATGGCTGAAGCTATAGGCATTATGCACCACGTATATATACGCCTCGGCCGCGTCGCATCCGATTCCGGTATTGTCGTACTCCTGCAGCTTTGCCCCTGAGGCCTCTTCAGTAGGATCGGGAGTCGAAAAACTACAATATACGTCACCGTGAAACGTTCTCTTAGAACCACGAACTCGTCTGCGGGCCATTTCACGTCATCGAGAACGCGATGTTCGATGTCGACGTGCACATGCTGCTGCATCAATTTCTGCATATGCATGGACAAGACGTGTCGCTGCGACCCCTACGCTATGCGCGATCTTTCGACGTTGTGAAGGAAGCAGGGAGACAGATCTATTCAGGCGCTGCCAGAACCAAGTAGAAGCCAGGCGTATCAATGATGAAAGAGGCTCATATTGAGGCTTGCATAGACCGCGCTCCAATTTCGAGAGAACGTTTCTTTCATATCCTAAAAGGCACACAAGAACATCAATGCCAAGTCAATCCAGAATGGAGATTTGAGAAGCTGTCGACAAATCCGCGTCACGCTCATGATTCTGGGGAAGGTACCGAAAATGGGGGTCGGAATTACGGCTCCGGGGGCGGAAGGATGCGGACCGTCGCCAATGGAGGACGTGTCGTGTGCTTGATGATCCGTCCGTCGGACTGCAGTACATTTCCTTGCAATACCGGGCACAGGTTGATTGTCTAATCTGTTTCACACTGGCTCGCGTGTCCAATCACGCGTCCTGGCAATTGGACTGCCTTTACCCCTTGCCTTGGCGCCGGAACTGCCCGTCTCTCTGGTTGCTCCGACTAAACGCTTAAAAGAACAGAATGAGCGGCAGCCCGCGTTCTTCACGATTGCATCGATCCTCTGTACCATTGTTATCTTCATTACACCGTATCATATCAATATCTTCTATCCAACAAATACCTTCCCAAATATGAGTTACTACGGAGGTTGTGAGTCTTAGCAGCACCCTGTTCAATCGCCTAGACTGACTTTGTCTTCTAGATATGCCATACTACCCTTCATATAACACCTACCCAACGTACGCTGCAACATACGGCACCTACGGGACCTATGGCATGAACGGCATGAACGGCATGGGCGCAATGGGTGCGATGGGACACCCGTACTATGGCAACTACGGGATGGGGTACGCCTATCCGGCGACAGGAATGATTCCTGCCCAGTATCCGTACCATTACCGGGACGGCCTCGGATATCTCCATGATTACGGTGGACGTTATGACCCCGCATGGTGGGCTATCCGGCTGGTTATGTTCCCGCAACAACGGCGCTAATACCGTATTGAGGGGGCTATTGTTCGACGCCTGTAACGGCGGCTTGCGACGATGGACGACTGGTTGAGTGATTGACATATGTACAAGAAGCAGGCTTCGGGTCACCTCTGTGCTATACCACTGTATCATACCTCATGA